TTCTCTTGAAAGACAAATGCATCTTTGAAGTGCCTTTCAAATATCCGAATATCCACTTCACTCCTTCCCAATGCTCCTTTCCGGGATTTGATAGAAATCTGCTCACAACTCCCACTCGCATGTGCTATGTCCGGTCTCGGTGCAAACCATAGCATACATCAAGCTTCCTACTGCAGATGCATATGGCACTTTAGACATGTGACTTTCTTCTTCTTCTGTTTGAGAAGATTGCCTCTTTGAAAACTTTAAGTGAGTTCCCAAAGGTGTATTCCTGGTTTTAACATTCCCAACATTGAATCTCGCTAAGCAATTTTTCTATATATTTTTCTTGAGATAAGTTCAAAATACCTTTATCTCTATCTCGGGAGATTCTCATACCAAGAATTTGCTTGGCTGGACCAAGATCCTTCATTTCAAAGCTCTCTCGACAATTGTTTCTTCAACTTGTCAATTTCCGCCATATTAGCTCCAACAATCAACATGTCGTCAACATATAAGGCAAGAATGATATAGCTATCAACATATTTCTTCACATAACAACAGTGATCTTCTTCACATTCGCGAAATCCCGAGTTTCTCATAAACTCATTAAACTTCTTGTACCATTGTCTCGGCGCTTGTTTTAATCCGTACAAACTTTTATGAAGCTTGCATACAAGATTTTCTCCGCCTTGTACTTCAAAACCTTTTGGCTGTGTCATAAAAATTTCCTCTTCAAGATCCCCATGTAAGAATGCAGCTTTGACATCTAATCGCTCCAAATGAAGATTTTCTCAAGCTTACTATACTCAAGATAACTCGATGGTAGTCATCTTGACAACAGGAGAGAAAATTTCTGTGAAGTCAATTCCTTGTCTTTGTTGGAACCCTTTCACTACGAGTCTAGCCTTATATCTTTTGCCGCCATCCGGTTCTTCTTTCAACCTATAGACCCACCTGTTTTGCAAAACTTTCTTTCCTTCCGGTAGCTTGGTTAAAGACCATGTTTTATTCTTCTCGAAGGGACTTTATCTCATCTTCCATTGCTAGCTCCCACTTAATAGATTCATCTCCCTGCATAGCCTCAACGAAATGCTCGGCTCACCGACATCGATCAACAACAAATAATGCAATGAAGGGGAATACCTTTGTGGTGCTACAATTGTTCTGCTAGATCTTCTAACCAAGATTTCAGGAGTTGCCGACTCTACTATTTGTTCAGTTTCTGTCTCAGGCTCGACATAGGCTCTACTTGTATATTCTCGCCTTCGGTTGACTACATCACTTTCTCGAAATTTCTTCTAATGATACTTGCTCTAGCTGTTTATTTACATTTGCAGATTCTCGCAATCCTGTCTCTATAGAACATGTTTTCATTAAAAGTAACATTTCTACTTCGATAATTTTCTTGTTTTGGTCATCCCAAAACCCGTAGCCAAACATGTCAGATCCATAACCAATGAAATAACAACGTTTTGCCTTAGGGTCCAATTTATCTCTACTATTAGAGTCTAACATAACATATGAAGCACAACCAAAAACTTTCGGATGTGAAAGATTTACCTCTTTTCCGACCATACTTCTTCAGGTAACTTATAGTCTAAAGGAACTGATGGTCCTCTTGTTTATGAGATAGGCTCGCTGTGCTTATTGCATCTCGCCCAAAATACCTTGGGTAATCCTGATCGGATTCTCATACATCTTGCTCTCTCATTCAAGGTTCTCGTTCATTCTTTCCGCCACACCGTTTTGTTCCGGTGTTCCTGGAACTGTCTTGATCATTCCGATCCTATTCTCTCGAACAAAACTCCTTGAATTGACTACTGTCATATTCTCCACCATTATCGGACTTCAAACATTTGACCTTTAAACCTCGTTTGAGTCTCAACCTCCTTTTTCCACCTTTTAAACACGGAAAACACATCGATTTATTTTTAAGAAAATAAACCCATACCTTTCTTGTAGAGTCATCAATGAAGGTTACATAATATTGTGAACCTCCAAGGGATTTCACTGAAGCCGGCCCCCAAACATCTCGTATGCACTAGTTCTAGTCTTTCAACTTTAGACGACTTACTTGTTTTGGAGAAGCTAACCTTTTTCTGCTTTCCAAAGATACAATGTTCGCAAGGTCCAACGTCAACATGCTTCACGTTAGGTATTTTACCTTTTGATATCATGAGCTTCATTCCTTTCTCACTCATATGCCCAAGCCTCGATGCCATAAGGAGGAATTGTTGCCAACTTCGCAACCGATATCATATCCTCATCTGCAATCATGTAGAGAGATCCTTGCTTCTTTCCACGAGCAACAACAAGATTACCTTTCATTACCTTCCAATGTCCATCTCCAAAAGTGGTGTAATGTCCCTCATCATCCAACCGCCCTATAGATATTAAGTTTCTCTTTAAGGTTGGAATATGTCCGACATTATTCAAAGTCCACACGTTTCCATTAGAGGTTCCGATGTTAATATCACCTCTTCCTATGATATCAAGAGATTTTCCATCTCGCAAGGTAGACCTTCCCAAACTTTCCGAAACATAGTTAGATAATAGTTCTAAGGAAGGTGTAGTATGAAATGACGCACCTGAGTCCATAATCCATGAGTCAATAGAATTATCTAAACTACATAACGAGTGCATCTTCAACTTCATCGATTCGTTGCATTTGCTGATTGATCATCATCTTGCTTCTTGTTGTTGTTGTTGTCCTTCTTTGGAGCCCTACACTCGATTTGAAAAGTGGCCCTTTTTCGACAATTCCAACAAGTGATATCATTCCGGACTTTTGCTTGTGATTTCCCTCTGGATTTTGATCTCGCCTCGGCCTTGATTACGACCTTTCGGCGACTTCTTCCTCTAGTTTCAGCACTCAATGCTGAACTCGAATTAGAACCGAAAGATTCTACTCGAATTTTTCTGCGAACATCTTCGCTTAAGATCAAGTCACGGATGTTATCAAGCTTCAACTTGTTATTGCTTGCAGAATTACTAACTGCAGATAACAGTTGCACCCCAACTTTCCGGTAGAGATGATAATAAAATTAATGCTTTCACCTCATCATCAAATATTATCTCGCATCGATGTCAACTGCGCAATAATTGCATTAAATTCACTAATATGATTAGTAACCAAGTTACCTTCACCCATTTTGAGGTTGACTAGCCCGCGAATCAAATGCACTTTATTGGTCGCAGAGGGCTTCTCATACATATTTGACAACGCCCGCATCAAATCTACGGTTGTCTTCTCGTTCATGATGTTGAACGCAACATTCTTAGCTAATGTCAGCGGATCACACCAAGCGTCTCGCCGATCTAACAACTCCCATTCTGATCGCTCCATGTCGGTTGGCTTCTGCCTGTCAAGGGTAGATACAACTTCTTCCGATACGAGATAATCTTCCATCTGCATCTTCCGGAACCCGAAGTCACCGCCATCGAACTTCTCGATCCTCACCTTTCCTTCTTCTAATGCCATTGCTCTCACTGCTTTCGAAGAAAGCTCCCACTGCTTCTCTAAACTGAGATTCCCAAGAAAAAAGACCAAATCTTTTCTGATGTGGAAGATCAGACAAAACTGCAACCACAGAGCATACTAAGAAAATTGGCTCTTGATACCAATTGTTAGGAACAAGACAATAATAAAGGAAAGAATGAAGGAGAGAAAAATAAACGACACAAGAATTTTAACGTGGTTCGGCTAAAATATGTATGCCTACGTCCACGACTACACTAGGAAGTAATTTTTATTTCTGTGTATATCTCAAACTTTACATAGGGTTGCTTATATAACAAAATAGAGAACCTCATCTCACAATCCTAATCGATGTGGGACTAAATCAAGCACCATAACACTAACATACCCAACCGTAAGGATCGTCCCATGCGAAGTAGGGTACTTCCTTCCACTCTCTTCACCCTTTCCTCCCTTCTCCATGCGTCACCATCTCCTTGGCCACCATCTTCGTTCCCACCTCCCCTTTCTGTCCTCCTCACTTGTAGGACTGACTCGAATCTGGTCGTCATTACCGTTACCATCTCCTGCATCTGCCTCCTAAACTCCTCTTGCATAGTAGCCTGCAAGCCCTCCAATCTCCGCTCAACGTCTTCTAACCGACTCTCAATAGGTGTGGCAACCATCAGGCGCTCCCGGAATCGGGAGCTCTGATACCAACTTGATAGGAACTGAGATTTTTATTGAATCAAGAAAAATCAACACAGGGAGTGTCCCTGATGTTGCGCACAAAAACAATGGAAAACAGAGCAAAAAACAAAGCCAATTTCCTCCAATAACCTCCTTACCAATTCCCCCCTCTCCACGTAAAGCTACGATATAACAGTTCTCACTCCTCTATTCTCTCCCCTCCTCATTCTTACCATTGCCACGTATACTAGTTTGTTAATCTGTTATCATTCTCTGTAACAGTTTCCTTGGGTGTTTTTTCCATTCTAGCCTTTCTTCTTTGATATGTTTTTAATGGCAGTCCCGTTGGCTTAGACCCAACACAGTTACACAACTGACTATAAGCTATTAATATTAAGGGTGACACAGCTGTCACTATGATAGCTGTAGCCTGTACTGATCTGATAAATAGTTCCTTTTAACTGTTGATCTGATCATTAAGAAATAAGATCAGATTACTTTTCTTCCCCAAATCTCTCTCTTTATTACCTTGACCATTATTTATTTGCTATAATGAAAATAAAACACTAATTGTTGTTATTTATTTTTATTATAATTATACTTAACAGTCCTCCTTCTATGTTGAAAGTATATTCATATTTCTAGTGAAAATGGTTTCTACTTAGTAACTTTTTCTGTTTTCTTTTGTTTTTGGTATGTGAAGGGAAAACATTTTAAAACAGAAATAGCAACTGTTTCTCACTCACGTCTATTTGCTATCATGTGGTGTAGGTAGCTCCAACAAAATATAGGGGTGCCCTAGGGTCTTTATGTCAAATTGGTACTTGCCTTGGCATTATTACTTCACTATTTCTTGGAATACCTTCTGAGAATGATCCACACTGGTGAGTTTCTTTGTATTTTTACGTTGTAGATTCATGTATTTGGTATTTTAATCTCAAATTTTCACTTGGACTTTCATGTTAGACTGGTTGAAATGTATAGTTTTACTTGGTATGTAAAATTGTTGTCTGTTAATGAGAAAGTTAGGTGTATTTGGATGAATACATTTTCAATTTCCAGAGCTTTTTGACTGAAATTGTCTGTTGATATGAGAACCATATTACTTTTGTTGGTTGAAGGTTTACGGATTTTGTTTGAATGAATAATCATTAATGACTAGTGCAAAACAATTTTGTACGCAGTACTCTTTCTCTTTTGTCCTGTTTCAATTCATGGAAATGTATATTGTTTTAGTTATTTGTTCATATATATTTGGGGTATTGTATTTCTTTTTTGTTTTCAATCATGACTTCCCATATTTGTTTTGTGTCATGTGTGTCTTTCTCCTCTGCTAATTTTTCATGAATTAGTGCTAAAATGAAAAGGCCAAGAATGTGGCGTTTATCCTATTTTCTGTTATTTCAAATTGGACCTCAAGGATGTAGAGCCTGAGGCCAAGGCTCACAGCCATGTTTGGCAGCATTATAAAAAGCTGTGGTTGGTAATAATGGCCTTTGGATTCATCTAGATGTCAATACTGTAATTTTAACTTATTGTAATAGAAACCTACTTCTCTAAGGTTCAATGAAATAAAGTCAGTGGATTCAAATTCACATTGATTCTTCCATCAATTATATGTTTGTAGTCTTTAAAAGCAGAAAATTGTTTGCCAAATAATGTATGTTTGGTACCAACGGAAAAATATTTCAGGTGGAGGACAATGCTGTATATTGCTAGCATCCCGGGTTTTCTGGTTGCAATTGGTATGCAGTTTGCTGTTGATAGTCCACGGTGGCTTTGCAAGGTAGGAACTTATTATTTGCTTGCTTGATAAGTATAAACTTTTCACTGTTTATACAGCTTGTAACATTTCTGGTCAGGCTGGGAGAATAAAAGATGCTAAAACAGTAATAGGTGAGCTTTGGGGGGCATCTGAAGTTGATAATGCAATTGAGGAATTTCAGTCAGTCAGCAAGAATGATGGTAGTGATTTGGACAGCAGATGGTCAGAGATCTTGGAGGAGCCACATTCTAGAGGTTGTGTCAAGGTGGTTTTGGCTGTTACTATGAAACAATAGGCAGCATTCTCTGCTTGGAAAATTATTTTTTACACTATCCTAGTAGCCGAATTGATTGATTACCATGTCAGAAGAAATATAAGCACGCAAAAGTAGTAGTTTCAGTTGAAGAGGGGAGTAAATTTAACTCCATAAAAATGAACTTTTTCTTTTATACACAAGTACATATTTATCACCATTACGTGCGCATACTACTTGAAACTTGGAAGTGTAAAATTTGCTGTGGATTTCTTCTATGATTGCAGTTGCTTTTATTGGAGGTACCCTTTTTGTACTTCAGCAGTTCGCAGGCATTAATGGAGTTCTTTATTTTTCATCATTGACCTTTCAAGATGTTGGAGTTGAAAACAGTGCTTTAGCAAGCTTGTTTGTTGGGCTTACTAACTTTGCAGGTTTGGAGTCTGCCCTAATAATTTTTATGGATATAAAGTTCTTCTAGAAATCTGATTTGAATTGCTCTGATCTGTTTGTTTTTCTTCAGGTGCACTTTGTGCATTATACTTAATTGATAAGGAAGGGAGACAGAAACTTCTAATAGGAAGCTATCTAGGAATGGTGAGTGTGTACAGGATATGCATAATTTCATGCTTAGTAATTATCTGTAAACAAAAGAAGACATTTGTGTTACAAACCAAGAATCAAGAACATGAAAGAAAAGATTGATTTTATTGAATAAATATCAAGGATTAGGAGCGAAAACACTCCTCTCTAAGTGATCCCCCTTCAACATTTGTAAGTTGGACACATGATAAGCCCATTATCATTACCCATGTAGGGACTTGCTTTCTGTAGCCCATACATTTTTGAGAAGACAATACTGTAAGCCTTGGAAGTTTTATTTGACTGCTAGGTAAAATAAATTTTGAAATAGCTTTTTGGTAGATTTATAAGATGCGTAATTCTGTAACATAAAAAATTTTAAACTGTTCTAGCTTAATCTAGGACATATATTTTTTTTTTCTAAGTTTCAGATTAAGCAATTTGGAATTTTTTTTTTTATTTTGGATTAAACAATATGAAATCTATCATTTTTTTTAAGTTGCAGATTTCTTAATTTGGAACTTAAAAATAAAAAGGTTCAATTTTTTTTTTTTTTTTTCGATTTTTTTTTTCCAGATTACATTGCAAATGCGGATAGAAAATATGGGGGGTGCTAGAAGCAAGTGCCACCCATGTATAGGAGAAGGCCCTATAAGCCCAATGATAAATAATAAAGGTCTAAAGTGTGTAAAGAGAAAGAAGGTTAACAATTTGGTTGAGAGGGAAAGAAATAACAGAATGGGAAAAGGTTGCAATGAGGGATTGTAGGTGTTATAAATAGTGGTTTTTTAAAATAAAAATATTTGAAGGATCTTGTTGAAAGTCCCACATCGCCTACCTCATATCATTTGGTATGATTTAAATACATGTTAGGCTACTCCACATATTGCCAATTGGTTTTATGTTGGAACCTTAACATGGTATCAGAGCCAAAGCCTAACATCTTTCCGGTTATTGTCATGGGCCAAAAGTTACCCTTTAGTTGGGTCAAAAGTACCCTTTGCCTGGTCGGCAGAGCTTCGTTGGAGGGGGTGTGTTGAAAGTCCCACATCGCCTACCTCATATCATTTGGTATGGTTTAAATACATGTTAGGCTACTCCACATATTGCCAATTGGTTTTATGTTGGAACCTTAACAGATCTCAATATTGACCAGGATAGAATATTTGTAGAATCTTCTTGTTTTTCAGCATATTTTACTTTTATTTCTTTATTTTAGGGGATTGATTGTTACAAATATAGAGTCTCTGATGTAATTGGTGTGATTGTTATGAATAAAATTATTATTTGTTTCCCTGCATAGTTCAAGTGGAGGAAGGTTAAACTAAGGAAAACTTAGGGAAAATTCTGTTAGGAATTCCCTAACTACAACAACAAAAAATAATCTGAAATTCCAACACAAACATACATCTTTGGCTGCAATGACAAAGTAAATACTTTTGTTTTTTTCACTTGACTAAAGTACCATATAAACAAATTTACCCCGAAGAGGAGCACTCTTCTTTTAACACAAGCAATTCCCAAAAATATCTAACTCTATTAACTCTGAGAGCTAATTAATATGTTCTCACTCACTAACCAAAATAACTACTACATGTGCACATTCTAATTATAATTTAGCTGTTTTTTTTTATTCTAAAATAGACATGTAAATAAAGGTCTTTCCTATTTTATATTTTCTCAATCAACATTTCTAACAGTACACCCATCCTCTGAAAAAACCTTGTCCTCAAGTATGACATCTAGAAATTAACTTTCCTTTTTTGTAATCTTATTTCCTTCTTCTTTTACTTGTGATTCTTTTTCTTTTTTTTGTTTGCAATTCTTGTCATTCTCTTTCTTATATGGAGTCATAATTTCATTCAATTTCTCTTTCTTCATCATTGATTTTCTTCGTTTATCAACTTCATTTCCTATGTTTCTTGAGGATTTTATAGTAGTAACATTGACCCTTTGATGTGGATTTCATGGTAGTAACATTGAACCTTTAATGGACGTTGGAAGTTAGTTCTTTATTTACATCTTCACTTTTCTCCTTGAAATCAAGTTTCTTCAAGAAATATGCTTCATGGTTTTCTTTTGATTTTTCTTTTATATCTTCATTCGTAGTCAAATCTTTCATTAAGTCTAAAGTAAAATTTTTCCTTCATGAGCTTTGAGTATTTTCAAGTTGTTTGCATCTTTAATCATAAAAGTTTGTGTTCTAAAGACATGTTATATGTTTTTTCTAATGAGTAAGCATCACTTAACAATTTTTGGTTAATCTCAGGAACATATAAAACATTAAAAATTAATTAGACACCTGAATGACTTTTTTAACTACAATTGTTTTTATATGTTTAACATTTGTTTGTTCTCTATCACCAATTCTTACTTTAGAAGTAAATATTTGTTGAGCCCTTTGAAAAGTTTTGGTTATGAGTTATGTGATTTGTACAACTATTGTCTATAAGCCAACTTGTAAATTTGTTAGTTGTAAAATATGTTATTGCAAGGAGAAGTTTCTCTTCTATAATCTTTATGGTTCTTTTTATGATTTGAATATCTTTTTTATATGTCCCAATGATCAGTTTTGTGATATTGCACGTGTGATCACCACCAACACTTATTGTATGGGTGATTATTTTTCTTGCAATAGGGACAAATAGAAAAAAACAAGTGATTTGTTACCTTTTTAGTTCTCTACTTAGTGGGCACCTTTAGTATGATATAATAGAATACCTTTAACAACATGATCTCCTCTCATCAATCTCTTTTTCTCTTGTGCTTGTAAGGAATGTATCACTTATGGCAAAGTAATCTTAGATAGATCTTTTGTGTTTTTCAACTAAGCAATAAATACTTTATATCTCTCTCTGACCCAATTACCCGAATTTTCTCAACTAATTTGAAATTAGTAAATTCTTTACCTAACAATTTTATCTTGTTAGCAATACCTAACAATTTGTTTGAATATTCCTTAATTGTCTTAGACTCTTTCATCCTTTGTATCTTAAATTACCTTATCAAGTATAGGGCTTTCATACCTCGAATGTTCTCATTCCCCTCATATTTTTCTTTCAAATAATTTCAAATTTCTTTGGGTGACTTTAAAGTTTTTTATTTTGATGAGGATCATTTATGAAACACCAACAAACAAATGTAACTTGGTTTTTGTCTTTCTTGTTTTTCTTTCCTATTGAATTTTGATTTGGGCCATGGTGAAATTTTCAAGTAGTGGATCAAAGGTATAATCCTCTTCCACAACTTCTCTTAAATTTAGTTCTTTAAGATAGAATTATATTCTCATAACTGATAGGTTGGAACTTTTGCCATCAAAAAATCATATAACAATTTGTGAAAAATTTCGTTCTCCTTCCATTTTATAGGTATAGTAAAAACCAATGCTCTTGATACCATTGTTGGGATTTTGGGTTTTGAATGTGTTTTTGATATATGAGATATATGATATGGCAGGGCTTCTCTTGTAAATATTTTCTTAATGTACTTCATATGCCAAGTAAAAATATAAAAAAATATCTAATATTAATAATATCTCAATCTTAATTATCTAAATAAAAAAATAATGTAATATTTTTTTTCTAATTTTGAAATATAATAAAAATATTTTAATACTTAATTTAAATAAAAAGATAATAAAGCATAAGGTATGCATCGAGGAGTGCAATCCAACCTCGAGAACCGTGATTCCATCTGTTGTTGCACACGCCCGAGACATAGTGATCAACATCAGCCTATCTCAAGCACATGAGCTTTATGCACCACCCTTTTGTGGCTGGAATTCCTCTACATCATTGTCATTTATCTCGTTAGTGCATTCTAGTTCCTTGTTGTCCTTGTTTCTCTATTTTGAGGTCCTTGAGGGTTGGGTCCAGTACTTCCCTTTACTATTTATGGTTTTCCTCCCTTGTATTCTCAAATCTGGTTGTTTCTTCTTTGTTTGAGATGTCTTCAACAAACTCTTCTTCCTTTTTGGTTACTCCTAGTACTACCAGTGCTAGACTATACTAGAAAATTGATTTGTCTTGTATGTTTTTGTGGAGCTATGGTTCTTTCATCAATGGTATCATGACCATTTGGAAATTGAAGTTAGTTCTATTTATGATTTAGAATGAGCTCAATGCAAAATATTCCGATCCAATGGATTCTTCATCCTCATCCTCTATTTTTTATTTTGACTCCAGTTGGTCTATTTTTCTTAGAAAATGTACTCGCTCTATTTGTAATATTTTTCCTATTTATAATTTTTGAAGGTACCATTGTTTGTCTCCTTCATATTCCTCCTTTGTTCTCTCTTTGTCCACCACTTCTATTCCTAATAATATTCATGAGGTACTTGATCACCTTAGATGGTGACAACTCATGATTGATAAAATACAAGCTCTTGAATATAATGACACTTGGGAACTTATTCTTCTTACTCTTGAAAAGAAGATTATGGGTTATAGATAGGTTTACGCAGTTAAGATTGATCCTAATGATGAAGTGGATCTTCACAAAGCTTGCTTAGTAGCTAAGGCCTATACTAAAATTTATGATCTTCACTATTTTGATGCTTTTTTTCTTATAGCTAAGATTACCGCTATTTAACTCTTCCTTGTCATGGATGCTATTTGTCATTTTCCACTTTACCAAATTGACATTAATAATTTTTTTCTTTATGATGACCTTAAGGAAGAGATTTATATGAAGCAACCTTTAGAGTTTATTGTTTAGCAGGAATTTGGTTTACTATGTAAACTACATTGATCTCTTTATGACTTGAAGCAATCACCACAAGTTTGGTTTGGTAAATTCAGTCATTGTGTAAAATTTTGGCTTGAAATAGAGTGAGACAGATCATTCAGTATTTTATTGTTGTACTTCTTTACAAAAATATGTTTATCTTATGGTTTATGTTTATAATATAGTTATTAAAGGCAACAATTCCACTAAGACTACTTAATTAAAAGAACATCTATTTGGTCAGTTACATATCAAAGATCTTGGTTATTTGAAGTATTTTATTTTGTATTGAAGTCCCCGATCAAAAGAATGTTTTATCATCTCACGAAGTAAATATACCCTTGATATTTTGAAGAAGAGAGGTTTGACAAATTGCAAGCCCATTGATAATTTGATGGATCCAAATAAAAAATTAATGGTAGATCAAGGTAAATTTTTCTCAGCTCCAAAGAGATATAGAAGGTTGGTAAGAAAACTCATCTATCCCACTATTACTAGATCGAATCTCTTTTGTGCAGTTGGAGTGATTAGTTAATTTAGGCAAAATCCTAGCATTGATCATTGAAATGCCTTGATTCACATTCTCTATTATGTAAAAGGGACTCCAAGACAAGATTGTTGTATGAAGACAAAGGAAATATTTAAATCTTAGTATATTGTGATGCAAATTGGCTGGTTAAACAATTGTCAAAAGATCTACTTCAGGATTTTGTATATTCATTAGAGGGACTATAAGTTATTGTAAAAATAAGAAATAAAGTGTTGTTGATCGATATAGTGCAGAAGTTGAATATATATCTACGCTTGGATTAAACAACTTCTTCATGGGTTGAAATTTTGTGATAATAAGAAAATGAAGTTGAATTGTGATAATCAAACGACTCTTCATATTGCCTACAATACAATGCATCATTAGAGAACAAAACATATATAGATCAACTATCATTTTGTTAGAGAAAAGTTGTTGTGCAAGGACCTTATTTCTGAGTTTGTGATTTCTAATGTGCAACTTGAAAATGTTCTAACTAAATCTCTAAGAGAACCTAAGATTCAATTTACATATTCTAAGTTTGGTGCATACAATTTATATACTCCAAATTAAGAATGGTTAAAATATGTCATATTTTAATATTTTATGTATGGACCCAGAATAATGGTTAGGGTAGGGGCAAAAGCCTAACCTTTCTTTTGTATAAATACAATATACCAGTGTCGTAAAACACTGCCTTTTTACCCTAAAATATTTCTCTCAAGTGAAACCAGTGAACAATATTTCCTTCCATAAAGGCCACCAGTAAACATTCAAATAGTGACTTGTTTAACTTTAAAAAGTTACCATCCCAAAGGATCTTGCCCTTCAAAGTATAGGTAACTGTACAGTCTTGGTCCAACATCATCTTGGTGACTCCCCCTCCAACCTTGGACCACTCCTTCAAGATAGATCTATTTGATTCACTAGATTTCCGAATACACCGGATCAATAGTAGTTTTTGGATGTATTCAAGATCCATCTTTAGCTTTACCAATCTAACTCCTTGTTCGGTGATCAATTTCTCTAAAGTTCCCATTCGATCCTCCACAAACATATTCGGCGATTTGGACCAATTGTTAGGAATTTGCTTACTACAACAACAAAAATAATCTGAAATCCTAACCCATATATCTTTTGCAGAAAAGACAGATTAATTGAAACTATTTTTTATGTTATTTCACTTATCTCTCAAACAGACAAACGCACCAGGCTAAACAGATTTACCCCAAAAGGAGCACTCTCCTTTTCACACAGGCAATATCTAGTTACTACTTTTTTTTTTTTTTTCCAAAAAAGAAGCCCCTTCACTTACAACTTAGGACCTATTTATTATGTCCTCATTCACTAACCAAAATAACTTACTACCCCGATCACGTACTAATTACAATATAACCTTTTTCCTTTTCTTCTTCTATAATAGACTTGTAAAGGTCTTCCCCATTTTCTATTTCTCTGTTAGCATTTCTAAAATAAGCATCGAGAGGAGAATCACTGAAAGTTAATGTGGCAACAAGGAAAAGGGCATGGGATGAGTGGAGGGACTGTCTTAGTGAACAGGCTGATAAAATTTGATGAAGGAAAAGAGACAGTTGTTCCTTTTGTTTGTTATTCACATTTGCTCAGTGTATCTTCCCCTCCTCTCTGCTCTGATCTTTCCTTCTCATGAGTAGGAGACTAAAAGATTAAGTGTTTTTATCAATAAATCAGGGCTATGATTACAAGTTCGTATCACAGGCACACACGGAACTCTTTATATCTTTCCTTCTCTTGAGTAGGAGACTAACAGATTAAGTGTTTTTATCAATAAAACTGGGCTATGATTACAACAAGTTCGTATCACAGGCACACACGGAACTCTTTATATCTTTTGCCTAGTAGTCTAGCCTTTTCTCCCAAGACTATTACGGATGACTTTCACTTCTGCATCTTTGTAGGCAATTTCAATGTTTCTTGTGTCCTCTGGTATCATCTTTCCACTGGACGAGCAACTCAGCAACAATTTATCAATACTAGGGACTATTATGTAAGGCTTTACTTGTCACTGCTACGAATCTAGTGTCATGTCTTTGCAAAATGAACCTGGCTTTTTTATCCCAATTAAAACTTAGGTGACAATCTTTCTTGTTCAAATTTATTTGCTTATTTCTCTATTCTTCTATCTTCAAATACTTACATTTCTTATTCTTTGACTAAAACAAACTTGAAATGAGGCTATAAATAGGTAGATATGGTTAGAGATATTCTTTAGCCAATTGAATTACAAAATAATCAAAATTAAATATTTGAAGGAGAAAATCGAGGATAAAGTAAAATGAATGACTGATTTTATTGAATTCAACCTTCTACAAACTATTTCACCATTTCGACACTGTGCATATTCATATATATTTAACTTGTCCAACTTGCTCACAAGAAATTTAAAGTTGGGTCCTAGGCAAACATTTAGTATGTCTGTCAACTGTTGAGAGGTTGGAATAACGTGCATTTAAATAAATCCTTGCTCAACCTTCCCCGTTTTACGAGGAAGAGATTTTACCCACTTCCTGTGAAGCAATTTTACATCCATTGGATAAGATAATAAAATGAGAAACTTTAGGAGAAGAAATGGAAGAAAACAATGAAGCATTACCATAAGATCCGAGATGTTGAGATGTTTGTTGTTTTGTTAGGGAAACAGTGTAATGAGAAATAATTCTCTTGAGAGTGTCCCATTCTCTTCCAATAAGACCATTGAGGGTGTCAGCATTCAAAGCGTCATCCTCTACCACTGCCTCCACTTTCCCTAGTAGATATCATAGCAGATGAATCAATAGTTAAGAGTGGGAACACGAACTAGCAGTGTTGTTAAACTCTCCCATTATTGGAATCTCTTGAACAGTTAAAATTTGATGCCAAACATGATCCGAATCGGGTGCATGGCATGTAGAATCATGTAGAATTTATCCAACTTTTAATTAATCTATTCCAAATCGGGGTGCCACCTGCCACAACACAACACTACACTGCTATAGCATAGCATTGTTAACATTAAGCAATTGACACTGTTTGGCAGGTTAATTAACTTGAGTTTTTCCTAATTCAATAATAACGTTCCATCACATATAATCAATATATTTACTTTAAAGGTCAGCATAAATCATTTATTATTTATTAACAAGATGATTACTTGAAAATTTTCCTAGGTAATCTGGTATTTTATATTTTCTAGATGATTGACACAAGGATGGTGCATTTTCACTTTATATTATTCCACAGGTATATATTCTCTTTTGCTATTGGAGCTGGACCTGTAACTGGCATCATTATACCAGAGCTTAGCAGCACCAGGACACGAGGGAAGATCATGGGTTTCAGTTTTTCTACCCATTGGGTGTGTATTGAAATCTTTCCTCTATTGAAGCTCCTTCATGTCACTTTAGTTGTTAAATGTGATGGAATATTTCTGGTTTCTTATTTTAATTTGTCCTTTATATCTAGGTTTGCAATTTTGTGGTGGGATTATTCTTCCTTGAGTTGGTGGAGAAATTTGGAGTTGCACCTGTATATGCCAGCTTTGGAGCAGTTTCCCTGTTTGCCGCAGCATTTGCCTATTACTTCATAGTAGAAACTAAGGGTCGGTCTCTAGAAGAAATTGAACGATCCATAAACGTGAAAGCTTGAAGCAATGATGAAATCTTATGTACCAATCCATGTATTCAGGAAGGGGTTTTTAATTTGGGTTTAAGGATCAACATGAGCTTAATTGATAGCAAAACCAGGTGTTTATGTAATCTAAACAACATAATTATGCATTACTGCAACCTCGGTTGCTTCCATCTCTAGTTACTGTGTAATTAAATTGATATTATACTCCCATCTTTCAATAGTTTCCTTGTGCATGTAATTGTGTAGAAATTATGCAAATGATGTTTAGAGTTAACTCTAACGTTAAAAATGTTTTTTTTTTATCATTATTTATTTCATGGGTTCGCAAACATCTATAAATGTATTGGTGTTAAAAATAAGGGAAATGATAGGCAAGTACTTTCTTTTCCATTGAAGATATGAAAGACCATTTTTGAAAAGAAGAAAATGTTGTAAAAAAGAGGGTAATGTTCTGCGTACACATGTGATGGACCAACCTTCTATTTGACACTTGTTGACTATGTTTGTGTCATGTTTAATTATTTTATGCTATAGTGGCACTCCAAAAGAAATTGGAAAAGTTAGAATGAACTGAAGTCAGTTTAAGTGAGCAAAATACGAATCGCTGCATCGTAGAAAGTAGGTTCAAAACGCCACACGCAAAGGGGCAACATCTTGTAGAGAGTGGGTTGAAAACGCAAGGGGGCACCATCTCGCAGAGAGAGTGAGTTCAAAACGTAAAGGAGTAACAACTCGCAGAGAGTGAGTTCATAACGGAGAGGTTGGCGTGGTTGATGTGCCCTAAGTTGAAAATGTAGAGAGGATAAAAACGGAGAAGATCTAAACATATATACTAGAACCACTAGTACAAAAAACACTTTTAACATCGGACTTTTTACATCGGTTGTTAAAGAACCGATGTAGAAATTTTTTTAAAGCCTTTCCACATCGGTTCCCGATGTGGAACCGATGTAGAAAGTACTTTCTACATCGGTTCCACCACGAACCGATGTGGAAAGTGCTTTCTACTTTGATTTAAAATAATTCTGATCGGTCATAAACTCATTCTGATCGATCATCCAGTTCTGATCGGTCATAAAGCCATTCTGATCGGTCATCTGATATACTATTTTACTTTCTAATGTGGTTGTATACAGGGAATTGAAAAATGTGATTGTATATGATAGCGGTTAAATCTTAACCGCTATTATAATAGCACTTCTAATAGCGGTTAAGTCTTAACCGCTATTATATAGCACGTCTAATAGCGGTTAAATCTTAACCACTATTATATATATTCAAATATGATCGATCATTTGAAAATGTAATCGATCATAACCAAAAAATGTGGATGTCGCTCGAGCGAGACAGTGTCGCTCACGCGAAAAACCACCCGAGAAGGCCAATTTTGTGCAGGTGGCGTCGCTCGAGCGAGACCAGTGTCGCTCAAGCGAAATACAACCCGAGAATGCCAATTTTGTGCAGGTCGCGTCGCTCGAGCGATCTTATTGTCGCTTGAGCGAATGTTGACCTGCGTAAACGTCGATCAAAGTTAGCCGGATAATGTAACATGGGAGACCTCATGTTAGAATCGGATGTCGCTCGAGCGAGTATAGTGTCGCTCAAGCGAAATACAACCTAGAAAGTGCTTTCTACTCGATTTAAAATAATTCGATCGGTCATAAACTCATTCTGATCGATCATCCAGTTTTGATCGGTCATAAAGCCATTCGATTGGTCATCTGATATACTATTTCACTTTCTACATCGGTTCCCCCATGAACCGATGTGGAAAGTGCTATCTACTCGATTTAAAACAATTCGATCGGTCATAATCTCATTCGATCGATCATCCGGTTCTGATCGGTCATAAAGCCATTCTGATCGGTCATCTGATATACCATTTTACTTTCTACATCGGTTCCCCCATGAGCCGATGTGGAAAGTCTTAAAAAAAATAATAATAAAAATTTTAGACAGTAAGCCCTAGACTCCACTCTTGCCCTTACGGACTCGACTCCCGAGACCCAATTACGAGACTCGACTCCTTCGGAATTCTTCCCTTGCTCCTAGCCATTACCAAATTCATTCTCACGAGTAGCGAAAACCACCGTCTCCTTGCCCCTATCGCAGTAGCGAAAACCACTTGTCTCTCCCATCTCCTTCCCCCAATCGAATCCCTAACCTCCGTTTCCCCAATCGAATCCCCAAGCGAAAACCACCCTTGCCGGTGCACCAAGAACTGCGACGCGCACCGAGAAGCTGCGACGCGCACCAAGAACTGCGACGCGCCACCCTCGTCTTCACCTCTACGAAACCCTCTAGGAGCTCCTCCTCATTGCACCTGCGCACCTTCGATCTCTTTGCGAACCAGAGGTGATTCGGACCAGGTCCGTGGGTCTATCCTATTGGCTTCTCATCCTTGTTTTGTCAATTACCTTTATGCATTTTCCTTGATTCTGGATTGTTTTGTTTGGTCGTGGACTGATTCTGCCTGGGTTTAATGTATGTAGACATGTTTATTCTGGGTTTTGTATTATTATTTCCGTTTAGTTTGACTTGAATATGTGATTTTCACTTGGTTATTCTCGTGGGGTTGAGATTGGTGTTATCCAAGCCCTGTTGGGTTGGTTGATGTCGCTCTGGTCCGAGTCTCTTAGCGGAAGAGTTAAGGCTATGGGTTTCCACGCTGGGGTGTAGGGCTTTGGGGTATTGATTATATTTGGTTCTCTTGTTTTTCATTTGGGTTTGTTTCTTATGTTGTTGATTTAGGTTTGTTCTTTGTGTTGTTTGTTTTGTTCCTGGAGTTTTACTGTTGTTCCAGTACTATTTCAGTTTGGATTATAGTTTGAGTTGTTTAAGTTTGTTGCCTCTGAATAGAGGTAATTCCATTTTCACACTAAGCAAAGACGTCATGTACCTATAGATATGGATCGGAGTTGGATAAATGCCAAACGTATAGAAGAAGAATATGAATTAGGGGTTGAAGAGTTCTTAGAGTTTGCACAGAGAAATGTGGGTAACAATAGAGGTCTCTTTTATTGTCCTTGTGTGAAGTGCTTAAATTTAAGACAACTAAGTGTTAAGGATATAAGAGAGCATCTCCTTTGTGATGGATTTTGCAAGAGTTACACTAAGTGGATTTGGCATAGGGAAGTAGTAGATTTCCCAATGGCTTCAGAGACAACTGAAATCCAGAAAGAAACCAATGATCGACTAGAGGATTTGATACGTGATATCGGTGAAGAGCCATTTGAAAAAGGATATGTATTCGAAGAACTATGCGAAGATAGTAAGAAGCCTCTGTATATAGGATGTTCTAAGTTCACACGGTTGTCAGCAGTGTTAAATACTCTAGGTCTGGTTCATGACAGATTAAATAACTGTAAAGATCTGTGCTTCACTCCTTTGAGCTAAATAGTATCCAGATTTTACTTTTTATATTCATAAGTAAGTACTTCATAATAATTGTGCTTCGTTCCCAAATCCCAATCCAGACAACATTCAATTGTTTAAGATAAGTATACTAACACCCTTGTATAATATTTCATTCATTTCATTTTAAGTTCCGCATGTCTTAATATGAAGTATTTTCCATTTAATCTTTTATAGGTGTATAGAAGCATACTCAGTCATGGAGGGTAAGCCTAAAAAGAAACCCACATGGATACTTCCACGTGTAAGGACATTATCTTTCAAATTCTTAACTTTAATTTACTCATTTTCTGTATTTAATGTTTTTTTTTTCTTATAGTGTAATAAGCAAAAAGGAAGTTGGGAGTGCGGATATTATGTGATGAGACATATGTTAACAATCATCACAGCAAATATCACAGATTCATGGAATTTGGTATGTGTTATGACTATATCTATGTCATTGACATATATTTGCCTACTTACGCTTATCCGAAATGTTTTTTTTTTTTGTAGATATTCGATGATGGTCATCCAATAAGTGAAGCAGAGATTGATGACATTAGACGAATTTGGGCAGATTTTGTTATTAAGAACTATAGTCGTGATTGAATTTAATTGTGAAACATTAGGACTTGCTAGTTTCTTTGTATATATAAACTTAGAATACAATACATGTTTATTGTTTGTTGATACAATACAATGTAGATATATAATATACATTATGTTTACTTGTGTGTTAATGCATGTCCTCTATATATAGATTAACATTCTGAGTAGCTGTAAATATTTAAAATGTTGTACAGGTTCTGAAAAATCAAAAACTAAAATTCGTATTTAAAAAAAAATATGACTTTCCACATCGGTTATGGCCATAACCGATGTAGAAAGTGATTTTTAATACTTTCCACATCGGTTCTAGGCCATAACCGATGTAGAAAGTCTGATTTTCCACATCGGTTATAGCTATAACCGATGTGGAAAATCAGACTTTCTACATCGGTTATGGCCTAGAACCGATGTGGAAAGTCAGACTTTCTACATCGGTTCTTAACCGATGTTAAAACTCACCAACTTTCTACATCGGTTGTATCTACATCGGTTCTAGAACCAATGTAGAAAGCTGCTAAGAACCGATGTTAAAGGTGTTTTCTGTACTAGTGAACTAGGTTGAAAGGAGTAGTTGGTTTCTTTGTCTGCAATTGCGTTTTTGGCTTATTACGCTTTTTTGCGTTCTCGAGCGGTGATTTTGGTTTTGTTCATGGTGAGTATTTTATTTTTGTCCATTGTTGTGTGTTTGTCTATTCTTTATTAATCGATCTCTAAGTATTACTTTAATTCGATTGTTTATGAAAGTGATAAGATTGTACCTTTCTATAGAGAACTCAAATTTGTGTTAGATGAGGAAACATTGATTATGAATATTGATATGTTTTTTTTGGGTAGGATAGATTTGTGTTTGAATTTAGTATGATGCAATGAGTGGTTATGAAATTGTTTTGTTTTATGAATATTATTGATTGTTGTCATCATGATATGCATCTAAACTTTTTATATATATAAATTTTGTGCAGATGTGACTTAGACATGAATGCAAGATAAGATGGATAAGAAAAATTAATAATACTATTATTATAGAGTTTTACATACTTATTGGGTTGACGGAGTTTTATTTTTCAAACGCATATCCTTATGTGTGTGTAAGTTCATTAAATGTATTAAATGATATAGAAGTCATTGACCAATATAACTGGGGTGTTGTTATGTATGAAAATTTATTTAAAAGTTTTTGTTGGACATCTTGTTTTTTGTGGGAAGAAACAAATTCATCACTGTTGCATATTGTTGGATGTATTTTTGTATTACAGGTAAGTTATTAACTTTTGAATACAATGTTATTATTAAGTTAATTTTATCTATTTCATTTACTTTGGTCAATGAATTGAAATTTCAGGTTTGGGCCTTTGAGCATGTAGTCAATTTTCCACCAAAAGGTGTGAAAAGTAATAACATATTCCCTCGGTGTTTGAAGTGGAATGATGTTTTAGTGAAAAAGAAAGTTATATCAACTTCATTTAAGAAGAATTTGATACGTATATAATTGGTGTAATCATTATTTTTAGCTAGTTATTGTGTATTATGTAATGAATAAATGTTTCCATATGAATGATAGGATGTGGAGAATCTATGTATGACAAATGCAAAAGCTGCACATATTTTGTTACAAATGCATTTACAAAAGAAAATAACAGTTTTGTCGTTTTCAATACTTTTGGAATTGATATCAATAAGATTGTTGGTAATAATAAAGTGTTGCTGGATAAGAATAGAGTATTGGAGGGAAGAATTATAGAACTTGAGCTGCAATTATTACATAGAAAGACGTGTTTAAAGCAACAACAAATGGTTTGTAATGATGGATTGAAGGAAAATGTTGATTTTGAAGTCCTTACTAAGAAGGCACACACAGTAAATGAAGACATGAAGACATTGATCATGTGGATGAAGATCATAAAATAGTGGATGGAGAAGCTTCTAATATGTACATTTGGATGAAACAAAAGCCTAGGTAAGGTGTTCATAGTTTAGTTACAAAATCACCATGGGTTAAGTATCATAACACTAGACGAAGTACATGTAAGCAAGTTATTTAATGTAGTTATTGATGTAGTTATTTTGATGTACATTTAGATGTAGTTACTGATGTAACCACATTGTGATTGTTGTAGAGTACATTAATAGGACATGGTAGAGTATTATCATGCAAACATTTAGTTGTTGTAAGTTTTGTGTGGTTGGAATTTATGTAATGTTCATTGTGGATGTTTAATCATAATACAATGTTTTGTGAATTGGTATATGATTTGGTAATTGATGTAGTTGACATATTTTTCACTATGCTGTTGGTTGATATTATTTTACATTTTAATATTTTAATGTTTTCAAAACATTAATAGAAAGATATGGTATAATGATGTTTGTACCATGAGACCAGTTTCTTATTGTAGCTTTTGTGTAAAAAGTTGGTGTAGAAAACTAACTTCCATAAACAAAAGAACATGTTTTCGCCTAACCTTTACAAATTCACTAAGTCGTTAGTAAAAAAAAAAGAAGAAAAGTAGTTCATAAAGGCATGTGCAAGTGGTTATCCCCTAGAAGAAATTTGTTGTTCTCAATGATGTAAGAAAATTGTGAGATGAAATGTACAAGAAGGAGAGCTCAAATCCATCTATATGTCCTTTTTCTTTTTAGTTCTTATATTTATATTCAAAGAACTTTGCAACCTTTTAACCCATCCACTCAGTGTTTATCAAATCGCTCAGTGGAATGAGGTTTATTTGTCCTGAAAGGTTCCATCCTCTTAGCGGATTCCTATCGGCTTCGCGATTTGACCCTTCCAGAAGGGGTCTTGTCTGGCACGAATCAGCTAAGCAAATTTTGAATCACTGAGCGAAATACGAATAGTTGAGCACATTTTTGTATTGTGTAAATGGTCCTCTGTGGTGCATTTATGCTTAGTGGAAACCGGAACGCTGAGCGAATTTTTTTCACTTGAAATCTAAACCCTCCCACACCCTTTTTTAGGACACGGATGCACCGCATACCTGTCATTGTTAGGACTAGGATGATGAAGAGTACTATTTTACAAATTGGTTAAGTCTGTCAAAAAAGACAATTATTTGTTAACAAATTTGGTTAAGTCATCAAGTCTGTATTTGGACAAAGGAGTTGTGATGGAATGCATGCCATTCAGTCACAGAACCCTCCCACACCCTTGTTTAGGACATGGTGTTGCCACATACTTGTCAATGTTAGCACTAGGGTGATGAAGAGAACTGTTTTACAAACTAGTTAAGTCAATTGAAAAAGACAGTTATTTGTTAACAAATTGGTTAAGTCAACAAATTTGTGCTTGGACCAAGGAGTTGTGATGGAATGCATGCCATGCAGTCACAAAACCCTCCCACACCCTTGTTTGGGACATCGTGACACTATATAACTGTCCTTGGTAGCACAAGGGTCAAGAGCAACATTGTTTTACAATCTGGTTATGTCAGTTCAAAAAGGAAGCTATTTGTTAACTAATTTGGTTAAGTTAGCAACTCTGTGCTTGGACCAAGGAGTTCTGATGGAATGCATGAAACCCTCCCACACCCTTGTTTGGGATATGGTGGTGCCACATACCTGTCATTGTTAGCACCAAGGTGATGAGGAGCACTGTTTTACAAATTGGCTAAGTCAGTAGAAAAAGGCAACTATTTGTTAATAAATTTGGTTAAGTCAAAAAGTATGTGCTTGGACTAAGGAATTATGATGGAATGCATGATATGCAGTCACAGAACCCTCCCACACCCTTGTTTGGGACATGGTGACGCCACATACTTGTCGTTGTTAGCACTAGGGTGACGAGGAGCACTAGTTTACAAATGGGTTAAGTCAGTTAAAAAAGACAGCTATTTGTTAACAAATTTGGTCAAGTCAAAAAGTTTGTGCTTGGACTAAGGAGTTGTGATGGAATGCATGCCAAGCAGTCACAGAACCCTCCCACACCCTTGTTTGGGACATGATAGTGCCACATACCTGTCATTGTTTATACCAGGTGTTAGACAAATGACATCTAGAGGGAGGGTGAATAGATGCACAAATTAAAATAGATGTCAAATTAAAAATTTATTTGAGTCAATAATTTGTTTGAATACAGATAAAGCGGAAGTGATAATATAATCAGGAAAAGAGAAAGAGATAAGGGAAAGAGAAGAGGACACAAAGATTTATACTGGTTCGGGTATAGTCAACCCTACATCTAGTTCCCAGTCAACTCTTAACACAAGAGTGACTCCCAATTCACTATCTTTTAAATTCAGTTTACAAATTACAATCAACTCAGCAGAAGAACCAGTAAAAAGTAAACTAATTAAAAAGACAATCACCTCCTTAGAAACCCACTAAGGATGAACACCTCCCTAGAATCCCACTAGGGATGAACACCTCCTCTAAAAAAATCAAAGGATGAAAACACCTCCTTAGAATCTCACTAAGGATGAACACCTCCCTAGAATCACACTAGGGATGAAAAACACCTCCTTTGCCACCAATACACAAAGGATGAAGGTAATAAAAATAAGAACAATCCCACTTGGGTAATGCAGACAACAAATTGTAGAAGCTTGAAGAATGCCAATCTCTAAGAACAAGTGTGATTAACAATGAAAGCACAGAAGGAAGTAGAGAAAAGGATTTTCTCAAAAGGTGTAAAATATCTCTGTTGCCTTACTCATAAATCTTTTCTCAAAACTGATTGAATGTAAATTGTATTTTCGAATTCTGTAATTGTGTGTTTTTTATTTTTCATCGAAACTTAATTAAATAGAAAAATAACATCAGAAAATGTCTGTTGGACATTAATATTTTCGTGAATAAAAATCAGGATATATTCAGAAATATTTATTCTTCAAAACAAATATATTTTTCAAATTTGAATTTCCATAATTGATTATGTTACAAGTATAATCAATTATGACAGATAAAATCATTTTTTCATTTCTGATGTATCATAATTGATTATGACAGTGAAAAATATCATGTTATGAATTTTATCAGATTTGTGCTTTGGAGGCTTATGCATAATATTACTCCATCAACTTGTACCTCCATATCCAGTATTCTAAGACTCTATCTAGTCTTCAGGAATCATCTTGGGCTTGCTTGAATCATCATCTTTATCAAAAACATATCTTGCGCATGTAGGGAAATGTTTCACATTGTCACCAACGTCTTAAATTCAGCTTGTTCTTAATTCATCTTGAATGGTGTTGACTTGAATGTAGTTAACTTGAATCATCGTCAAAATAATCTCTTGGGAATGTAGGGACATTTCCATCATTCTCCCCCTCATTGCTTTCAATCTCCCCCTTTTTGATGATAATCAAGGAAACACCTGAAATGAATTAAAATGTTTGACTCTATATAGCCAGCTCAAGATTAACACAGTATAGTATAACACATATTAGCACAGATTTGTATCAAGTGACAGAGTCTCTTAATCTCCCCCTGGATATATTAATAACAAGACTCCCCTTAACTCATATGAGCAAAGACATCTCTTAACTCCCCTTGTTTAATTTAGAGATAGAAATGAATTTCACACAGATTTTAATTCATCAAAAAATCTCCTTTTGTTTCATTGATAATCATAAAAAATATTATAAGAGAAAAAAATTCCCCCCTATTTCACACAGATTAGTATCATCAAAATATCTCCCTGTTAAATTGATAATTATGAAAAATATTGCAATAAAATTGAGAACAAATTTGCACATATTAGTACAAAAATCAAGGTAGAGAAGATAATGCATTACAAAGTGTCATAGAGAAGAACATCATATTAAGGAGGCAATATCTGGGATACCCAAGACAAATGAAAAGAGAGAAATATAGGGGAATAGAATGATTGTAGAGAAAATGGAATGAAATGCAGTAGTTTCCCCTAATTGTAGTCTTCTTATTTAGGCAACTTTCAAATTCAAATTCACTCATATTCTAGATTTCAAATTTCAAATTCAAATTCCAACAAATTCCAAATTTCAAAATCAAATTTCTAATCCCAAATTTCAAATTCAAATTTCAAATTCCAATTCAAATTCAATTTCAAAAATCTCAAATTACAAAAAATTCAAATTTCAAAATCTCAAATTACAAAATTTCAAAAAAAATCTCAAACTGCAAAATTTCAAACATTAATAATTTCAAATTTTCATAAATTCAAATTTTCAAAATTCAAACTTTCAAATTTCATAGTTGGTCAACAATCAAATTTATGTGATAGATAAGTGCAGATATTCAATATAGAGGCTTGAGAGACAATCATAAACTTATTTTTGTAATATTTCCCTGTTCATCTAGCTTGTTCCTGTACACCCATTTAGCTTCAATAACCTGCATTAATTTCTTATCCTTGATAATTACCTGCAACATCAACATACAAATCTAGGTACCCTTTAATTATTTTTGGGTCCTTAAAAAGCTAAGTAAAATCACAAGTCTCTGCCAAAATATTAAGGATTAAAAGAATATAACCATGATATAATAATCGATTATCACAGAACCTTTAGAATCAACATAATTGATTATGACAATAAGAAAAAAATTTCCGATTCTGATAATCTCAAACTATCATCTAGACATGTATAAATGCTTTGTTCCTTTAGGCACCCATTCATATTTGCCATTAGATATGCCAAAATGTTTTATGTAACATCTATTTGATGTATGGCCAATTTTCATGCAATAAAAACATGTTGGTTTTCTTTGAAAAGGTCTAAATGACTTTCTTAAATTTTTTGAAACTGGTTTCACATCTGTTTTCCTTGACTCTTTCACAAAAATAGTTTTATGAGGTTCTAGACTTTCTTTGGGTTTGTAACCAAGTCCAACTTTGCTAGACTTCCCTCCTTGATAACCTAATATAGAATCAAGATTTCAGAAGATTTTGAAAATTTGCTTATTATTTTCTCTAACTTGAAAATCTCATCTTCCAAATGATTACAATTTTCACAAGGTTTAGCAACTTCATTATTTTTAAACAAAGTTTTAAATTTCTCAACATCTTTCTTTAAGCACTCATTTTCTTTTTCAAGAATACCATCAATATTTTTTAATGCATCCAACGTTTGTCTAAGTGCATTGTATTTCTTAGATAACTTGATAAAACCTTCATACATATCTTGATATTCTTTAAACAACTCATCATATTCATTGAAGGATTTTGTACTGCTTACCTTTGATGAGGCTTCATCATCACTTTTTGTCATCAAGCCAAGATTTGCTTCTTCTTCTCCATCACTGCTTCCGGAAGAACTCTCTTGTGTTGTGGAAGAATCATTATCCACCCAAGCAATATAAGATTTGCATTTTCACTTAAAGGTATCGTTCTTCTCTTTCTTCTTCTCTTTCACATCTTTCTTCTCTTTCTTAAGTTGCGGACAATATGGTTTGATATGGCCAAGCTTTCGACATCCATAGCACTCGTACCTATTGGTTTTCTGTTTTCTTTGTTGTTTATTTTTCCTGTTCTTCATAAAACAAGAAAATTATTTAGCTAAAGGAGATATTTCGAAATCCGAAAACTTACCTTCATTTTCACTTTCATCTTGTGAAGATTTTTCTACTTTTAGAGCTATCGTCTTGGCTTGATTTTGTTCACCATTCTTTAACCTTTATAGCTCCATCTCATGTTCTTGTAGTTTTCCAAATAGAGTAGCAATATTCATTTTTGTAAGATCCTTTGATTCCGTAATAGCAGTGACCTTTGGTTGTCAATTCCTGTCTAAGGATTTCAAGATCTTTGTGTTCAACTCCTCATTGTCAAAACTCTTTCCTAATGCTTTCAAGTGATTTACTATATGTGTGAAGCGTGTCTGGAAATCTGTGATGCTTTCATTTTGCTGCATTCAAAAAAATTCATACTCCTGGATGAGTGTGTTCTTATGTGCTCGCTTTACTTCATTTGTTCCTTCATGTGTTACTTCAAGAGTGTCCCATGTTTCTTTTGCCGTCTTGCATTGTGAGACCCCGAAAAATTCATTATGAGTTAAGGCAGAAACAATAGCATTTCGGGCTCTTACATAATAATGGGCACACTTGTTTTCATTTGGCGTCCATTGATCAAAAGTCTTTGGAACATCTCCAGACTCTGTTGTTCTCATTGGAATGTAGGGACCATTGAGTATAGCATCCTAAACACCATAATCTAGCATTTGTAAAAATATTTCCATTCTTGCTTTCCAAAACTGATAGTCTTCTCCTTCAAATAATGATGGTCTGTTTATTGAGGCTCCTTCCCTGTAAACCTGATTCTGCATAGACATCTTGATAGATCGTTTAGAAATATCTTATCTAACCAATCTCTGATACCACTTGTTAGACAAATGGCATCTAGAGGGGGGGGTTGAATAGATGCACAAATTAAAATAGATGTCAAATTAAAAATTTATTTGTGAGTCAATAATTTGTTTGAACACAGATAAAGCGGAAGAGACAATATAATCAGGAAAAGAGAAAGAGATAAGGGAAAGAGAAGAGCACACAGAGATTTATACTGGTTCAGGTATAACCAACTCTACATCTAGTTCCCAATCAACTCTTAACACAAGAGTGACTCCCAATTCACTATCTTTCAAATTCAGTTTACAAATTACAATCAACTCAGCAAAAGAACCAGTAAAAAGTAAACTAATTAAAAAGACAATAACCTCCTTAGAAACTCACTAAGGATGAACACCTCCCGAGAATCCCACTAGGGATGAACACCTCATTTGAACAAATCAAAGGATGAAAAAACACCTCCTTAGAATCTCACTAAGGATGAACACCTCCCTAGAATATTACTAGGGATGAAAATCTCCTTT